CACGAAATTTGGTATAGGTTATTTTTTGAGGCAACAATGTAATCTCTGAAGAAATTGTTCAGATCGGATTAGTATAACATATAGCTGCCATACGAACTGAACGATCGGAATCAAGTTCTTGTATGGAAAACTTTCACATTTGACGTGGTATCTTCACGAAATTTGGTATAGATTATTTTTTGACGCAACAATGTAATCTCCGAAGAAATTGTTCAGATCGGATTAGTATAACATATAGCTACCATACAAACTGAACGATTGGAATCAAGTTCTTGTATGGAAAACTTTCACATTTGACGTGGTATCTTCACGAAATTTGGTATAGATTATTTTTTGAGGCAACAATGTAATCTCTGAAAAAATTGTTCGGATCGGATTACTATAACATATAGCTGCCATACGAACTGAACGATTGGAATCAAGTTCTTGTATGGAAAACTTTCGCATTTGACGTGGTACCTTCACGAAATTTGGTATGAGTTATTGTTCATAGAAATAATGTAATTTTGGAAGAAATTGTTCAGATCGGCTTACTCTAGCATACAGTGTCCATATAAACCGAAAGATCGGAATCAAGGGCTTGTATGGAAAACTTTCGCATTTGACGTGGTATCTTCACGAAATTTGACATGGAATACTGCTTAAGGTAATAACATAATCTCCGACAAAATTGTACAGATCGGATTACTATAGCACTTAGCTTCCATACAAACTGGACACATGTTACTGTGCATGATACTCTGCTAGTACCTTAAACTTCGAAGTTCTTAGATTAGAGTTTTAGATAGTGCTGGATACAGGCGCAGAAGGTGTTCCAGCACCTCTTTCATGCACAATCTTGATTAAGAGCGAAGGCAGGATAAGTGACATAAATTACAAATATATTTCTATAAATAATGAACAAATAATATGGCTTTTTCGATTTATGTAATGAGGTTAAATACTTACCTTGAGATATAATCCCGAATTGGTGGGTAATGACTGTTCGATTTCGTGTATCTGTGCTTTACGCTTCAGTGTGTTTTTATTCAATTCCTCCACTTTGCTCTTCTCTTCCGGCGTTTGAGCTGTTTTGCATCTAGATGGTACACAAATAACAAAAACAATAAAATGGAAATGTGAATTTAATGTTAAAGCAATTAAAAATATTATCAATTTTTTAATAGCAAAATCAAAACAAAAAGCGCTGAAAATAAAACGGAACAGGGAAATAAAAACACACCGATTATTTGTGTAGATAACTTTGTGTTGGCAATAATAATAGTTTTTTACTGCAATGGACCGTGTAATTGGAAATATATATTTGCATTTATAACCATAAATAGCAATAGAAGCAGAATGTAATTAACCGTTTAAGGTGCAATAATATATGCAGGCGCACATCGGTTGTTACAAGTAAAAATTTCAATTTTTATTTTTTGAAATTTCTGCGGCATAATTATGGTGACGCCTTAAAAGCACGTAACATCAAACTTTTGATAAGTGTTTATTCTATGAATTTTATTGAGCCCGTGAAATTTATGTTGGATAAAAGTCCATTTTACGGTAGGGGTGAATAAGTAGATAACATAACATAACAGGGCAAAGAGCAAAGTGCGCGAATAATTTCTAAAACCTTTATTGGATCATTAGACAACTAAAATATCGATTATGATAAGAAGCAATTAACTGTAATTAAACTTTAGACCTTTTGCAACACAAAGTAATAATTCAAACATAAAAAAAAAAAATAAAAACAATGAAGAACGAAGAGTTTGTTTGAACCGAAGCTTTAATGCTCTTTACAAATACAAACTATTTCTTAGAAGAACTCGGTTTTGATCGGACAGTTTGTACGGTAGCTATATGCTATAGTGGCCCGATTTGAATAATTTTTTCGATATTGTACCACTCACTGAGGCAATAATACATGCCAAATTTCTTAAAGATAACTAATCAAATGAAAAAGCTTTCCACACAAATAAATAAAGCTTAAATAATTAGTATTTCTTCGAATAAACGTTTTTGGATAATACAGGCGCGTCTTCTAGGCAAGGAGTCCACTCAACGCTTGCAATTCTTGAGAGGAGTGACCTTCTACGCCTTCTGCACAACACTCCATAATTGCTCCGTATTTGACAGGTTATCTTTCCAGAGGACTTCATTGACCTCTTCCCAAAGGTTCTCATTTGGTTTAAGGTCCAGCACCGAGTCGACAAACCCATATCCTGAACTCCATTTAGAGCAAACCAATTTTTTGCCAACCTGCTGGTATACTTGGGGTCGTTTCTTGTTGACAGACCCATTTAAACGACATTTTTCATTCAGCGTTTGGTTGAATAGTCTACTCTAATATTTCAACGTATACTGTAATTTGGCATCCATGTAACCATAGTAACAGAAGCATCCCCATGCATTGATTTAAGCACCTCCATATTTTACTGTCCGTGAAACATACATCGTCGGGTATTTAGGATCAAATGAAACGTTTACTGGCTTCCGTACATACTGTCGGCCCCGTCGTAAACCAAATAAAACATCTTTTGTTTTGACGGACCGCAATAAGTTGCGTCATTTTTTGACTGACCATCTGGCAGGTGCTGTTCAGCAAATTGAACTCTGGCCTGCACATGCCGGGGTTTAAGTAATGACCACTTTCTTGGGCACCTGCCATAGAGTTTAACTGTTATCAACTTTTTTCTTATGTGGAAGCAGTAAAATTAAGGTTTAACTCATCTTTAATTTTTTTTTTAGGTATAAAATTACTTTTATCGGGTCAAAGCTACACCTTTAACCAACTGTGTCCGCGAAAGTGCTTTTTTACGTCGTCACTTTTTTTTGGCAGAACATCCGAGCAAATCTTCTTTCTTTATTTCCTTCCGTTAATATTTTATTAATGAGATTCCCTTTTTCTTTAGAACAATTTCCCATTTTTGCAAAACAAATCTTTTGAAATTTAAAGCGTGATGTACTCACTGTTTCTTCAATTAATATGAATTAAAATTATATTTCGATCGCAGATGTACGTTTGAACAATTTTGAGAAATTATTTTTAAACGATTTTGTTCAAAAATTTCTTTTTCAGACATAGCAAACCTTCACTACTACTCTGGCTAACAGAAACTGAAACCCAGAGCTATTAAAGTAACTCCAGAACGAAACAATGTGCTACAAAGCTCTACAGGGTGGTATCCACATATTCCAATATTCTAATTGAGGACTAGCTAGTCTCAAGACATACTTTAAAACTAAATTTTTTATAATTCTCATTTCTAATCTTAAAAAAGAACTACCTACACTTATGTATCACCAAAAATTTTCCAAACTTGTACACTATCACCACTATTCGTCTTCATTAAAATGTTATTAAGTTTATGGGAATAAAGATAAGAAAGAAAGACACTGGTAGTCTACCCATGTCTGTCCACTATTTGCCGCACATAATCAACAATTTGTCTAGTTTCTAGTCTAGCACTCGATATTCATGCTTTCATTGCGTGTTGCTTGTAATAAAATTTATTTTAAAATTCAGCGATTAATTGTTCACAAATCCTTTTTATGTTGCTGTATGTATAATTAATTAGTCACATTTAATATAAACAAATGCGTATCAATTCCCGATTTGTAAAATGTAACACATATGCTTCAATTATATATGTACATACATATGTTAGTATACAAACAAATAGCATTCGTGATAAGCTTCGGTGACAAAGCGCTTAACAGTGATTTCACACAAAGGTGATGATTGATTAGTTTACTTTGGACTTCGGACTGTCCGAGGATGACTAAACATTTTGATTTACAGCTTTCCTGTGTTTTCAAACAATCTCGGGAATTCTGTAACCTGCTTTGTTGCACTGCATAATTGATTGTTGATTTATTGATTATAAATGTTGAATCATGAACTTTTATTAGAGATATGATAAGACATGAGCTTAGTTTTGGATCAATTTAGATTGATTTTTTGTATTATTTAATAGTTTTTATAAATTTTTCAACAACTAGGACTTCATTCATATTTAATCATAATATAATCTATATACAATACAAAAGAACGTTGTGTTAGTTAGACCATTTACTGTGCCCAAAAAATTAGGTGACATTGTATTTATTTTGAAAATTCTTTATTTATTCTTCCAAATCAATTTCATCCCCTTCAAGGTAATCCCCACTAGATGCAGTACATTATGCCAACGGATTTTCCAATCTTCGAAACACTGGTTGTAGTCACTTTCCGGGATGGCCTTCAGTTCCGTATTCGCTGCGGCTTGAATATCGTATAAAAACGGTGTCTCCAGAGCGGTCTTTTAAGCTTGGTGAACAGCCAGAAGTCGCACGGCGCCAGATCAGGTGAATGCGGTGGTTGCGGAACGATATGGGTTGAGTTTTTGGCGAAATGATCATTTGATGCAAATTTTTTGCTCAACAAATTCCGACATCGCACAAAACGAAAAACTCACTTTTAGCAGCTCACAAAACATTAATGAATATTTTCACATGAAATTTGGACATAAATGTGACTGTTGGTAGTACCAACATAAAAAAAAAAAAAATTCTCCAAATCCTTCGCAAATTCAAATGTCACCTTATTTTTTGGGCACAGGTATAACTCAAGAACGGCTGAACCGATTTGGCTGAAACTTGGTGGGGAGGTATGTAGCTTAGAATCAGGGTAAGGACATTGGATACTTGTTCAGATCGACTCACTATAGCATATATGTATGCTATATATGCCATAATCTCAGACAAAATTTTCAGATCGGATTACTATAGCATATAGCTTCCATACAAAGTGGACACATAGTTACCAACTAAAAAAATGCACCTGTCAAGGGTATATTAGCTTCGGTGCAGCCGATGTAACCGTTTTTTTCTTGTTTTTATTTGAGGAGTGAACCGAAGTGAATGTTTTCTTCTGTTTTAATATTCTCAATATTTTTTTTTCTTTGTTGTGAATAAGTTAATGGCAAATTTTTCGATAGTTATATAAACTAACATAAAAAATGTTATAATAATTGAATATACAGTCGGCGAAAAAAAATCCACACACTTTACGGAGTGGCTATACATAGTACAAAACTAAGGCTCATGTTATCTTAAGGGTTTGGGGTAGTCAGAGGCATGAAAAAATTAGAATTTTCAGTATATTTTTTTGTTATTAAATCAAGTTAGTTTACAAACATAGTAATATGGTAATATTATAGAATGTGTTGACTTGAAGTAACTAAAATTTCAAAAAAAAAAAAAAAAAAAAAAAAAGTTAATTTCCAAAGTTATAGTTGTCTGTTTTGATCCAGTTGCAAAAAACGGTACTTGCGGTGACAACCATAAGTCCTTGGAGATTCATCTAAAATCAATCGGATAAAAAACAAATTTGTTTTATAAATAGATAATTCTGAGCCTAATCAAAGAATTTTTTATTTTCATAAATAAACAAAGTGGCAAAAAATCAACAGTTAATTAGTCTTAAAAAATCGAAAATTTTGAAAACATGAAAATCCTTCGATCAAGCCCGAGATTATTATGTATTCTAAAAGCTGTATAAATTTCATTAAAATCTACTGAGCGGTTTTCCAGTAACAGTTGTCACCAGTTTTGAGAAAAACGCGTTTAAAGTTTCACACTAGCGCTTTGAAACTACTCAAAAACTAATTATCGGATCAACGTGAAATTTTCAGAGAACATTTTCAAGATATTACACTTCACGAAAATTCAAAAAAAAAAAAAAAAAAAAAAAAAAAAATTAAGAGTTCAACCTGTTACAGTATCCAGAACGAAACTGCGCAAGGGCCACTATCGATTCTTGCGGCGCCTCGTTTTCTTGGTCTGCAATGGCTAGTGGTTTGACACCAAGTATGCCATTCACTGAGAGATCAAGGTGTTAATAGCTCAACTGTAATGAATACCGGTCAGTGCATGTCTGAAGTTTTTTGCGTCCGAAGTCTTCTCCGCGAATTGTTTTATGTCGCTGACGTAGTTGAGGAAATACCTCTGGATGCTCCCGGCATTTCTGCGAAAGCACCGCAACAGAAACTGCTTGGAGAGGAGTTCATTATGCTCTTTAACATGGGGCATACGGGCCTCCTGTGCACGTAT